AAATATGGTTTGAACTTCGAGCATGGCGCGTATACACACGACATATCAATGTCCTGAAAAGACGACCGTCATAACGTTGCGCTGTACTGCGAGGAGTTCTGAAGCTGAGGTTACCTAGTTGCCAAATTGAAAGGACAACAGGCTTCAGTTTAATAAACAAAACACGACATAGCAGGTTTGTTAGTGCAATAATTTAATATTTAATTGCGGATCAAGTAATGACGCTGGCTGCTAATGACAATAACCAACGACCCCGAAGTAAACAGCCCGTCAAAGAAGACCGACGAATTATGGAGCGAAGCGTCTGCACAGATTTGTCGCTCTAATAAACCTATTATACCGCGTTTCATTGAATAAACAGCGTTTAATTCCATTTCGAGCGGCAGGATGCAACGCACAATCAAAAGTTCCAGTTGGCCTGCTTCTAAGTGGGCATGAGCAATCGGATGAGGCTTAAATTCAGAGATTGAATATCTTTTTTTGAAGATTTGCGTTTAATGCCTAAGATTTTCTAAGTCATTCATGGCGACGATGAAATCATGACCAATAGGACCGGAAAGGAATCATGTTAAGATAGAATTTTGTTGACCACATCCAGTGGCATGCAGCCTCGACTATCCTCAGAGATCGCACAGTTTTGGAAGGATCGAACGCCCGCTGGGTCGGCTGAAACGTGCGTGGCACGTTCAACTGAAACTAGTTCCTTTCAAAACCAGAAAGGAACTCTGAAGCAGGAGTTTTTCTCTGCAACACTGCAATGCTGCACTGAAGCGGCATTGCTGAACACGACTCAAACGGTCGTTGAACTGACGCCTAATGGACGTTCACCGGGACGAAGAACAACGAGTACTGGGCACGGCGTTCAGTCAAGATTCACGATCGTACGTTTTCGTACATAAAGCTTGATTTACATCACCTACTAATGACACTCTCCACGTGTAGTGTGCGGAAGGAGTGCTGCCAAGGCAAATGAAATGACTTATTCAGTACCACTGGTGTGTTGGAATGTCGTTGAACAAAAGTGAAATTAGACAACGGCACCAAAGTTCATTGTTTGTCAGAGGAACTGTGTCGACCGCAGCTCTCACGCCTTTCTCGAGGCGACTCAAGCATTTCCGGTTCAGGAAACTTCACTTATGGACGGCACGAGTCTTGAGAGGAAACGGAAGAAAAAAGGAGTTTACCGGGATGCCTGTTGTCAATGCAAAACTCAACTAACAAAGTAGCTGCTAGTCCATTCATCTTCCTCTAAGTTTTAAGTTTTGGATAAAGTCCTTTTGCCTCCACCCTCTTCCCTTTGTGATTGATATAAGCAAAGAATACAAACGTCAAATTCCCATACTTCAAACGAACACCCACACACTATCTTTGTCATGAGAATAACAATACTGCATAAAACGATTAATCAAGTTTCACAATTTACTTCAAGTAATTGTTTAATCGCGATAAGGGAGGATGGCGAACTCATTGCTGGGGCGCTTGCCACAATCGCCTGCTTTCTGAGCATAATTTTGACATATTTTTGCACTCGATATGTTGAACACTACCTGTCACGAGAAGACCGCAATGAATAACAACGTGTCCAAACCGAGACCTTTTACTCTCCAACAAGGTCGTTCAGATTGTCCTGTATGTAAGTAAGGAGCACCTGCAGCAGATGCAGAGTCTTAAGCATCTTGAAGTAGCATCCATGAGAAACTACAGGTAGGAAGTGGAAATAGATATCCGGAGCTGTCAGGCAATCGTACTAATTTAGGAGCTAAGTTGTCGTGTGGTTAAAAAAGAAATGGCTACAAACTAACGTTAAGTTGTTCATCTTCACTCCGGAGGGTGCGTTTCGCAATGCATGCTAAATATCGATTGAAAAAGTGTCATCCAGCATACAAGTGACAGTATAGAGTAACGATTAAGGTCTAAAAAAATCAGCGCAATTACAAAAGCAAATTTTATCACCAAATTCGACGAATCACTTGAGAGCCCCTGAATCATGCGAATTCCACGGCGAAAATTTGTAGTGCACATTAGTACTGTCTAATGTTACGACCTAAACAAACAAAAACTAAACCCGTTTCAGCTGATGACAGCCTTGACATTAACTTTCTTTGACGACTTGCTGGCGCCAGCAGAAGAAAATTGACGCGAGTAAATTTCGAAAGGTATAATCAGATAGGGACCTGTTTATAATATCTTAATTTTTCCTCTCCTCAGACGATTATTAACGTTTTTCAAAAGACGTTTGTTCATCGATGCATTTTCTGTATGGGTGAAATAAACCCTAAAGGACAACGTGCAACTTCTAGGCGGTGATTAACACTGCAACGTGTAATATACACGTGCTACTGAACGATTACTGTGAACTCACGCTTCCACGTTACAACTGATGCACAGGCAGCCACTAACTATTTATACTCATCAATCTGAAAGGAAAAGACAGGTTAACATGCAATGACTAACTGAGCTTCCACATCTAGAAAACTATGCAGAACTTTGAATAATTCATGATTCAGGGCATGAAATACAGCAGATGGTAAACGGTTTGATGCCAACGCGTTTCACTGCACAGACCGCAGCATCATCAGGGCTGGATAGAGTACAATTGACTGCTTGAAGGAATTTATGTCCAACAAACGAACAATACCAATTTTTCGTACACTGGCTAATTACACGCAGTCAAAACGTTATTAACCTGTCTGAACGAATGAATCGAATCTTTGTCATTTTGACCTAATTTTGCGCATCAATTTTGCAACGGTCTCCCCCCTACTGATAACTGCATTCACTGATAACAGCACAAGACGTATATTCATGCACATTCGGTTTTTCGTTGCCAGTATATGCAAGGACTCTGCTTTGTGACAGATACATTAATCTGACTGAAAGAATGCCCTTCAACAATTACATGATGGGCAATACCAGAACTGTCAACCTGTCCAAGACGGATAGCAGCAAGGAGCTCTTTTATCCGGATGATCGATATACTTATTATTACTTACTTCCCGTCGCCACAAGCAAAATCAGGCGACTGATTTATTTTCTTCTTTAGGTAAAGTTCAGTGCCTGTAATAAAGCACACGGAGGTGCATGCGACTCCGAGAACCCCGAAGCTGGGCTGACTGAAATCTTACGGCAGGTCCTTTCAATGAATGTCTGTGATCATCGAATCCAGCAACACATTTGAAAGAAAAAATGTGAAGCATCCATTTGAGTTTTCTAGGGTATTGGTCGTGATGCCATTTAGATAGATCAGTCTCAATGTTTCTGACTCAAAACGTAGAAGTTGGAGGAAGTGACTATGAGCTGCCGCGGTCGGTCTTAGTTGGTATAAAGAAACAGCCATCTTTCCATCGCAGATTGATGGCGAGTTCGAGAGAAATGACCGTAATCTGCTGATATTATCGGTCAGTAGGGGTTGAATGACGGTAGTTCGCCTGAGGGGCCGATAAACGTGATTCGAGTAGTGCGAAAATGTGATCGAACGACTGCTCGCTTCAGGACCGGCTCTGAAACTTCTCGCCGATTAACCACTGACAGACAGATGAAGGCCATCGCGATTCCATTAGCACATTAAAACCATGCGAGCTGACAAAAAGACGTCAAATTGCGCCTATCAACTGGTGGCAAATGGAAACGCGTGACCGGTCGAAAAACGTTGGTAGAAGGTCGGTAGTTTGGCAGCGGCAACAGAAAGCAAAAACCAATACGAACCACCCGACCGATGACCTGGCCGTCGTCTCTAAATAACGTCATTATGTGAGCTACCTCGTCGAAAAAATCTGAACTGGGTCGTTGAACTGCGAAACACGCCAGGCATTCTGCATTCAAAAAACAAGAGAAGCTACTGCAAGATACGAAAGTCTTGGTTTTGAGGATTTCACGATCACTAAACAGCAGATCGGTAGCAATGTTCTTTGGATTTCGCCATCACATTTCATAGAAGAACACCTTCATTTTAGTTGTTCGAGGCAAGGTCGAAGCGTCCATACTCTGGTCAGCATAGGAGCGTCCATTTTTGTAGCACTGGTGATGATCAGGATATTTGTTGCAATGTTGTAATGACTTTTTGACAACATTACTTCGTTGGTATTCCATTTCAGCTATTCTCCATTTCGGGTCTCAAGGGCAGCAGTTTCGCGAAATTATGCAATTATTGTCATTCTCCTCCAACTGAGTTAGCTCGTTTACCTGGATTTCAGCGCGCGACAGTGAAAAGCCGCGTCCATAAATTGGAGCCAGTCAATCTTTGGCCACCTTCCATTTGGCTGGAACGAAAGTCTCTTCTCTGACATTCTGTTCCTATGTCAAAACCACCGAAATACAGGAAAGAAAAGACTTGCAAGCAAGATTCATCTTGATTTGCCCAGTTCTCGTCTGCCACACATCGTGAGATCACCATCTCTTAGAAACAACTTCGCTTCATCCCTAAGAGTCGGATCTTTACGTCTTACATTCATAAATTCATAATTTTGTCCCCTATTAAAGGGGCACAGCGCATAATGAAAAAATTTAATTGTGAGTTATCCAGGAGAGAAGTGTAGACAGCAGTCCTTCGCGAGAGTTTATGTTAATGGATCCTTCCTTACGTAAAAATATTCCTTAAGATTTTGAGAAGACCGGTGATTTACATACCACTATATTCTAGCAACGTAAGCATTGACTTCTAGAATAATCAAAGTCACTATAATCGCAGGCCTTGTCTCATAGCAATTACAGTTCATACCTTGGGCTCAGATTTACAGATTGCACACTGATGTAAAATATTTATTGCAGTTTGACTGATTCACTGCTTTCTGTTTCAAGGCAGGTTGTATTGAGAGCGTGCAGCCGCAATGAATGGTTTGCCAACCTTTTCATTTTCTGGCACTCAGATAATCAGTTAGTAGCTGTTGGAACGTAAGAAAATCATGGAGCGATTATATGGCTTCTGTATGTGTGGGAAACCACAGACAAGAAACTGGTTTCGCCTACGGCTGGACAGTGGACACATAAATGTTGTGACGTAACTAACCTGTCCAGAAAACGGTCTGATTGAACGACTTCGGAACGTGATGAGCGAGGCCGGTGACGAACTCGTTTTCGGCTCGAGTTTCGATCCGAGTCAAGAGACTGCCTTGTCTACAAATTCATCAAAGATCAATTTAGTCTAGGGATAACATCGACCAAAAGAGTTTTTTTACCTGCTACAAAATGAAAGGGCTTGTGGCCAAGAACGACGTACATCAAAAGCATTGTAACACTTCGTATTAAACAACTTCCAGCCTGAAAATCAGCATCAGCAATGTAATGGCCATAAATAGCAAAGAAACAATGTGACTACCATTTGGGCAAGTCAGAACCACGTCCTTATGTACGTAATGCGCCGACCTTTGGTCCCCGCCTGTCCTCTTCAAACGAGGCAACGTCAGCGCAGCGCTCTAAATTCAAAACTTAAGTCAAAGCGTTGCCATGCTAGCGGCGAACTATTCTCAAGAAGAGAGTGCCTCCCATTGTAGTTATATGGATTATTCAATAACATTAGTTATATTGTTTTGTTGTGCATATAATGGTTTATTACTGAAAACAATGACACATGGTATGGTAGGATATTTTGCAGTATATCCCCATATTTATTTTTATCCTATATTCATAGTTCAACTGATGTCTGCAGCATTCATGTAACGGTTCTTTGGTCCTAAAAGGGTCAGGGCCATTTAAGCATCCAAGCTGCACTCCCTAATTAATCCACTGATTAATACAGATCTAAAGAATTTGTAACTGCATCATATTTTGCCTGATCCATTACTTTCATGGTTGTGCTGCCTTTACGGCACGAAAAACAACGCTGAATTTGCGAAGAGATCAGTACGAAACTGAGTGTTGTAAATACCTTAGCACGAAAATAGAGAATGCTCCTCATGGGATTCCAAAATTTTCTCCTCGGCTGCTAAATTTCCAGACGAATGGAACGTCTCAGATTAAATCGAGAGAAGCGGCAGTTTTGGGGGCAAAGTTGCACGACCCCATTGTTTCTTTACGCTGTCCCCCAATTA